GTGGACCTAATACCATGTAACTGTCTACACATTACTTTCTGTTCTGGCTTGATTAGACCATTACAAAAAGATGCAAACAATGAGTAATACATTCAGGAACCAGTAACATTTACAAATTCTAAACATCACTGGTGACAGATTACATTGACAGCTTATTCAGTCACATCTAGCAGTGAGCAGAGGCACCCTTTGAGCAAGAAGCCTCTATTGTCACACCCCCAGTGTTTCTCCAGCAGGTTCATTTTATCTCAGCTTGCTGCAGCAGATTTCTTTCACCCAGTTTGAGATGTTTCCTTTACACATGTTACAGCCGGAAGTCTGCTCACCCTAAGCTATTGTACTTTAATCCAACATTTGTATGTCTCACCTGCATGTATCTGAATTACAGCTGAGAGCACCTGGTTTTTCTATTACTGTTTCCCCACTGAGAATATCCATCTGAATACATATGTCCAACATTCAGTGTGCTTGACTAATCTCTTGCATTCTGCACTGCCAAGGCTGTGTATGCATGGTCATTTAACCGTGACATGAGAGCACTTCAGGGTTAGCTACTGTCCCTCCAGGATATCTTTTGTGCCACCATATGCTGTACTTTCACAGGTGACAGGTAGCTGAGCTAAGGCATGCTCAGTTGATGGTGTATGATGTCTAAGGCAATTAACTCCTTCAATCCAAATTCTTTTAGGTCACTTTCTGCCTTTTGGTGTTTCCATCTGCATTTCTTTAAGAGATGTGGATAGCAAAATGCATCATTTACTGCAGGTGGGAGGTGCTGAGATATTTCTCTTGCCGGACCTAGCTGGCCCAGGTAGAAGCAGGAGCTGATGACAGAACATTTGTGAAAAATTTAAGTACGACTAATGATTTGAGATGAATGCACTGAGATACTTTCTGGCATATAATACAACTACAGGTATGTTTACAGAGACAAACTGTCACAGATTAAATAACAACATCTGCAAAGTCTCCAACACGGATACAATAAGTAAAAATGTAAAATCAAAATGTGTCACAGAAGACTTAGATATTTATCACAATTCTGGTGACCACGGCCAAAATGCAAATTAACTATCAATACTATGTCATTACTAATTCAGATTTATTTCAATTTAAGACACTACCCTTTAAATGCCCTATCCCATGTTCTGATGTCTGTACATTTCTATTTGTTATCGCTTTGCACATAGTCTAAACTAGTTAACATTAACTGTGGCCTTAAAATAATTGTGCAGTAATTATCAGAAAATCTGAATTGCTGGAATAGTTTGTCATGTTGCATTTCTTCAGTTTTTGTGTTCTTTTGGTCTTTTTTTTAAATTCATTTTAGTCTTAAAGAATAAAAAGCCAGTGCTTAGAGTTGTTATTTCCAAAAAGTTAGCTTTCACTAATTGGCAGATATTACAAAATGTTTTTGTTCCTTTGATGACAGTTACATTTTTTAATAGTTTCTGCTACAGATATGTTTACAGTCAACATAATCTTAGACCAAATTGGGTTTACCCTGCATAGATTTGAACTAAAATAATTTTAAACAATGTGGAAATTAGACTTTCCATTTTAACAGAAATAACAAATGCTGATATAAATATGGATACAAATCTGATATCTTTGTAGAGTTCAGAGATAATAAAGAAAAGATAGACAAATAAACAAGTGTCACCTAGGTCAAAGCATCACATCTGACTGTTGACAAATGCACAAACAAATGCCAAATAAGTCACAAAAGTATAATTTTGATATTTTTGTTTGCTGACACTATTTCTTATGCCTGTAGATGATACCTCATACCTGTGGATCTACATTTACATAAGTATACATGCATGAGGAAATATTCTTTGACCGAAAACAGAAAAAAAAACTGTTGCAACAATAAACCAGGATTACAATTCTTCAATACCGACATATGCTGATGATACATACAACATATGCTGCAAAATACAAATATAATACAATTTAACCAAAAACTGATAAGTAATATGTAAATTCCTCACAATTTAAAGCAAACCATAAAATAACCAGATGTATGTACACATAAATATATTTACATTCTATGGCAACTGAAATGGTGGATGCTAAGAAAGGTGGCTTTAGTTCGGGGTGTTTAAATAAAACATTTACATAACTCTATAACCACAAGAGAACATATCTACATTATTGACAGAACAGCTCTTTCAGTGTCAAGAAAAGCCTGATTTGTTTCTAGCTGTTACAAGTGAACCCTAATCATTGCACAATGTGCTTGCTAGCACCTCATATTTAATTTCTTTGAAAACAAGGAGTACATAATTTTTTTCCTTCAAGAATATTTTCCCTCGTTAGGCATCTATTCGGTTTTCCCCCTGACAAGCGGCTACCTCAGGGTTTGACCACCCAGGGACTAAAAAAGTCACATTCTGGATGGCAATCCAACCGGATAAATCTAACATTTCACATTCAATCTTACAGCAAAGTATTACTGGGGTATCACCCTAGTGAAACCTAAAGTCCTGTGCAGTTAAGGGTGTAATAATTTTTCAGGTGTCCACTAAAAATCTACTAATAGGCAATAAATAAGTTTGCAAGTTCATATGTAATAAAGTCAGAGACATGCCATAAGTGAAATCAGCTAACTCTAATGTATTAGCCTTAGCCCTATTTTAAAGCTAAGTTTTAAAGACATTAAACAACTTATTTTGCAACATTCATGAAACAAGGATTGTTACTTTCTGTTTAGACATGTGACCAAAAAAAATTTTACTAAACAAAACAAATGTATACAACTATAACTGGATTTCAGTGGACTCTGAACAACGTATTAATCATGGTGAACTGTTTAAAGGGGCATAATTTTTTTGTCAATAGTCGTGAAGTGCTACTGAAATAAGTATATTTCAAGTGTATTTAAAAAAAAATAAACTTTAAAAAATAAATTTGAAAAGGTGGCTCATATCTGACCTAACATTTAAACACAAAAAACGAATATGACCTTTTCAGTCCATGGCAAATTATAAGAGCAAACATGTTAAAATAAAATGCAGTTGAATCTTTCTCATGAAATCTGTCATTGTTTCATGTTCATCATCTTAACAGAATGTTCCATAAAATCCTTCATTCTTGCTTCTAACAGGTTAAGAACAAAGTCTAAACAAACTATATTGCATCCAATTAAATAACTGTGACAAAATGTACCCAAACTTATAGTTCCAGGTTAAATAAACTGACTGTACAAATGTTCAAACTGACTGTACAAATGTTCAAACTGACTGTACAAATGTTCACTTCTAATGTAAATCTCCACTTACCACTACCTCTTCCTGATGTAAGACACACACAAAATTAAGGACACTTTCCCTGCCTTCAGGCATATTGGGCAGCTTCTGATGTACTGTAGATAAAACTCTTTGCTAAACAAACTATAAACTTCATTAAATGCACAAATGTTCCTGATATAGATAAAACTTCTAATCACTGTATACAAATCATAAACTTGTCACTAATACAGAATTGTAAGTTTCAGCTTTGCACAGATTTTTCACTTCTGCTGCTGCCTCATCCTCTGTTGGGGCACAGACCTTCAACTAACTCACACCAAACCATCCTATTATTTTTAGATTTCCTGCAGCTTCATCAACACCCCCCGCCCCTTTTCTACTGCTCATTCACTTCTTGTGTTTTTAAGGTATTCTCCCATGTTTGAATATAAAATACAAAAGGTTTCTTTCCTAATATAAATGCCTTTACAAGTTGACTTCCATACAAGATTAATATTTTATGACTAATGGTAAACCTTTAACTCATCCTAATAATAAAATGTTCTGATTATTAATAATCCTTTAAAAGCAGTCATACACATTCTAAATTTACATTGTGTGATTAATGATAAACCTTTAACGACCATCATATTGCTCTAATTTTAAATTTAATAACTAATATAATCCTTTAATGACAATCATACTAGTTCTTATACTAAATTTTATGATAAATTGCAGTCATTTAATGACAGTCATTCTGATTCTAATATTCCAATTTTATAACTAATAACCCTCTCCCGAAATCATAATTATTTTAAAATAACACTTTATTATTGATGTAATCCTTTCATAACACTCTCATTCTAATATTAAAATTTATGACTAATAATAGTCCGTCAATGACAACTGTGCTTAGTTTAATCTAAAATGTTATGACTAATGATATTTCTTAACTCTTTGAGTCCCAGGGAAAGCATTATACGTTCATAGGTTCTTACCTAGAAGCCCAGTGAACGCATGATGTGTTGATTTTATTCTCTTTTTACTACCCATTGGGCCTGTGATGCTTAACCCCCTGGGACTCAAAGAATTAAACAGCAACCATTCTCATTCTAATGATAAAAAAATTTTTTTATTAATGTTAATCTTTAAATGACAATCATTTTTATTCTAATTACCATTTTACTTACTAATTATAATCCTTTAATGACAATCATTCTTACTCTAATACATAAACAACTTATCTAAATATACAATCAACAGGTTTTGTTTAACATAAATAGATGATATATAACTCTAATTTTTTTTTTTTATCACAGAAAATTTAAATAACCTATGGAGAAATAAAAGAAAGTGCGGCCTGACAAATTCTAGTTCAGAAATAGATAAAATCAGCGAAGAAACCTGGGAGTAAAAGGGGCACAAAATTAGGCACTGAAAATGTACAATGCTATGTCAGTTGCAGTTTGAAGGTCCGTTTTAAATATTTTTCCTGGTTGCATTTTGCTAACAAGAACAGGGCCACTGTGTTTTTATTTAAATAAAGCACTTACATAGTATTAAATTTCATGATTTTTGCTCCCAACTGTCAAAATAGTACCCTTTTCCTCATTCAAAAATCCCAACTGTGGTAATAGGATATGACAATGAAATTAACATTTATTAATAACGAATTAATATCAGTATGTTTACATCAAAATGCCAAAACACAGAATGAACAACAGAATAACTAACTGAAGAACAATCACAATAAATGACCAGCCAACATCATAAAATAAAACCTTGACCTTTGGTAAACTGCAACCCTTGCTCTATCTGATCTTGGTCTGTCATGAAGTAGGACATTGATGGCACCCGAGAGAGATCCGCCCTGCGAGGGCAGCATTTTAGCCATTTCATATATACAACAATGGCCGTCAGGACGACAAAGCAACAAGCCATCAACATAAATGATACATCAAGGCTGTAGGAATGTCGCCAGTTTGATGAAACCTGCAGCTGTTCTGTTAGTTTCTCCACATCTCTGTCAGAAGAAAAAAAAAATGCAGATGTGTTAATTCTAAAACAATTGTTTGTTGCTATGCATCTCTGTCAGAGACAAAAATATTATGTGTCAATGCTGAGATTACTTTGTTTCATCTCTGTGAGAGACTAAAATACAGTATGTTGTTTCTGAGATTACTATGTGCCAATTCTGAGATTACTGTTTGTTTCCCTTTATCTCTGTCAGAGACAAAAATTTAGATATGTCAATTCTAAGATTACTGTTTGTTTCCCTAAATCTCTGTCAGAGACAAAACTATGTGCCAATTCTGAGATTACTTTGTTTCATCTTGGTGAGAGACAAAAATACAGTTTGTCGTTTCTGAGATTAATGTCTGAGACAAAATTGCAGAAGTGTCAATTCTAAGATTACTGTGTTTCTCTACATTTCTGTCAAAATGGAAAAATTCAGATGTTTTTGTTTCTCTATATCTTTATCTATCTTAGAATGAAATACATAGACAAGATATATTAATTCTAAGACTATGTTTACTTATCTGATTGATTGGCACTTATCTACAACTATGTTTTAAAGATGTGTGCAAGTAGAAGGTGAATGATTTAGGTTTATAGGCACATTTTTGGAAACCTGTTGCATAGAGGCAGAGAAATCAGGAAGCCAGTAAGAAAAAGAAGAAAGTGACTGCAGATAGGTTAAGAGCTGAGTGAACATTAAATACATGCTATGGTAATAATGACTTTAAAATCTTATGTTCTGAGGGAGACTTTTCTTATTGTGAACAAGTCTTGCTAGTCACACTAGTTAGTTAGTTAGTTAGTCGTTACAGTTCCAGCATCACAGCAAATGAGCTTGGCCCATATTTGCTCATCCGCCTATGCCAGTGATTCCAGTCACAAACTGAGTCAGATACGCTGGATACTTCAAGTCAATGCTGTAGCCATACAAAGTGTCCTCAGTCAGCAAAACATACAATTTGATCTGGCAAACCGTAAGGTGCATGCCTCCTTAAACACACTGTGAGACCAGGCGTCATCTCTAAAAATCAGCTATGCTTTTTGAGAACAGGCAGCTGCAGACATGCTGATACATCAGCATTTACGAAGTAACTAGATTTAGTCATCTTGGGTTAACAGGATAGAGGCCAACAGTAACATAACATTCTTGAAACTGAATTCACAAGCTGTGCAAAGCAACAAAGGTCAAATCACTTTCAATACACTTACAATTTATTTCAATGCAGTCAGAGATATTTTTTTTTTAAACTGCATCAAAATTATTCAAATGCAGACTAAATCAAAAATCAAAATAACACAAATACTGATGAATTCTTTATAAATCTAAAGGTGAAAATAATAAATATAAAACGTAGAGTGCCTTCAAATGAAAAATATCATATTTATTTATTTTATTATGGTAACAGCAGACGTTATTATTCCATCATTTACATAATGAGAAGACAAGAGAGACTCTGCTTAGAACCATCATCAGCGAAGACTCAACCATGTGCCTAATAAACATCCAAGAAATAAAACAGGCTGCCATGAACCGTCAGACATGGCAAGCTATAACCTATGCCCTATGTGCCTCCCTCAGCTCAAAAAAGACAGACTAATTAACAAAAGGCATCAGTTTCACTGACCTCAGGGGTAAAAATCTAGTTTTATAAATAAGGGCCCCTAGAGTCCAGCCAACATCTTTGCCGTTTACCAGCTGGGCTGACGTAAACTTCCTGTAGGTGGTAGGGAAGGATAACCCTTTGTGGAAAACCTGTGACATCCAAGCAGATTTGAAACACTGAAACCTGAAACATGAGATAGAAGGTCAATCAATCAATGTGCAACATAAGGTGCCAAAGACAGCAAATATGAATAATGCTAAATGCTATTATGTACGTCACTGGTTCCAACCTTTGGACCAAATCAACAGGTCAGCAGGCGCATTTACAAAAATTAAAACATTAACCTTCAAAATGTTTTTTATTTTTATTTTGTGGCGATTAAAATGCATTTCCTTTTTTTTTATGACTAAAAAAGGTATGAAGTTTGTTGGATACTTTCAAAATTAAGAGGGGTCCAAAGGTCTTATCTAATTGGGAACCACTGATGTAGGCAATCCTTCCTTCCCATGTCTCCATTAAACATTTTACATCATCATCATGTGCATTGTAATAAAGTGTTATGCTGCCTGTCACCAGCTGTGTTTGTTGACTATTTAAAATTAGTAGCAAGTTGGATTATTTTAATGCAAGTGTATGCTAGATTTGCTGAGGCAGCAGTTTTTCAGTCTCTCCACAAGGGACTGATAAACATTCTGTGTGTTTTTCGTTGGCACAGGAGCGGAGCAAAGATGGGGCGACCCGTTTGCTATGAAGCTGAAATTAAAATTACCAGATTATATGTTACTGGTAGACAGATGTGTGCTTTAATTGTGAAAGGAACAGCGAGACCTTTAACAGGAAACAGTATCCACTGGAGGAAGTCAGCCAGGATCTCAACTGAAGGTCCTGTAGATACAGTCACTTGGGGAGGGGGGTGGGGGGTGTCAAGTAAAAACACATTACAACTATTTGCTGAACGCTTCACAACACAACTAAATAATTATTAGAATAAATATACCCTATGCAAGTCATAGCTTTAGAAAGTTATGGGAACTGTTGGCCATTGCTTGAATGAATCATGACTTGGAAATGATAATTTCATAAGATGAAATAACACTGTTATTACAAACTTCTTATTTACTCTTCAACTACAGTGAAAGAAGACTGTATTACATATGTAGCTTCATCATAGTTGAAGAAAATATTCTTTAAGTGAACAGACTGTCACTGAAAGATTTAGTATTCTGCATGACTAGCATTCCTCACTTAAGTTCTTTTTGTTTCAGAAAAAAATACAGCGATAGCAAGATCAAAAGAATTTGTTTTACATGTTTAGGTATAACATGCTGCAGGAGATTGCAGATTGTGGAGAGGCATGATCGCCTAAGCCAGTCGGCAAGGCACCTGATGTTGATGAGGTTTAGGTATACCTAATTACATGCACATTGTTTGATAAGATAACATATCAGCAGCACCATAGGGCACACTGAGCACCTCAATGGCAGCAAAGAAAATATGGCTATAGCCTTACAAGACATAACTACAGACCATATCTTGTTGGTCCCTTCTTTCTTGTCTTTCCATACAGATAATAGTGTTATTTAAGAGCCCATGGTATGACTAGCAAGACCCACTTGCCTTAAGGAAAGTCTCCCATAATCAGAGCATGGGGTTTCAAGACCACTGTTGCCATAGGATGTATTCAATATGCTTCTTCTCAGAAGCTTAGCTCTTAATCTATCTGCAATCATTTTCTCTTTTATCCCTATTCCCTTCCAGATTACTCCCTTCATGCAACACGGTTCATGGAACCTTGTTTCTATGAATCTACTTCAATACCTGTATCGTTCATGTCCCACTTGCACACATCTGTATACCACAGTAGAAGTAGACCTCATTATCTTAAACTCATCTGTAATTCACAAAAGATTATGTCCTTAGGGACTCTACCATCCTCTATCCTCCAAGTGTGCCCTAGCCATCTGCACCCTCAAAGACTGAATTGACAAAATTATGATATCTAAGTCTTTCCGCTTTTTCCAATACCTCACTGCTTGTGATCTTGTCTTGCCACTTGGTGCCAAGCATTCTTCTGAGGCATCTCTACACCTCAAGATTAAATCAGATTAGTCATATCTAAGTTAACTTCCACAGACTGACAATACTTGCCTGAAACGGTGATCATCTGCTTTTGGGTAGAGGTTCTGTTTGTAGCGTCCAGAGAGAACTTCCCATGATGTGCTGCAGAACTCCTGCAACAAGAAACAGCAATAATAATGGCTAGTTAATGCCTTTCATATGAACAGCACAGAGGTATCTAATCATACACAACGTGAGCAATGATAACAGATTTTTCACTAAGACTAACAAAATATATACAACAATACCAATTATGATAGATAACTTGAGCATCTTTTTTAAACATCAAACAGACTGTAACAATCACAATAAAATAAATTCTTTTAGAGCGCTTTGCTGCTGGCGAAATTTGTGTATTATGTTGGTACAACTAAACATTATGTTTGACTATTCATTTACTGAACATAAATTTACAAAATGTAACAGTTCATAATTTGTTCAGAATTAAAATTATAGAAAAGCTGTAATCATGCTAAAAACATTCTTCTCTTCCACCCTATACCTTAGTATCTGGGGGAGGGGGGGGGGGGGGTGTAACCTTTGTCGATGAGCTCTGTCAAGAGTTCTATTAAGACAGATGTTAATTTTTTTAAACTATTCTTAATGCCATCACTCATATTTTTTGAGGTCTTCCGATTGCTCATTTCCGTTGTAACGTTTTAGTGTAGCTCACTGTGGTAGATAGTACCAGGGCATTCTTGTTAGGTGTCCACACAACTCCATTGTTGTTCTTTAATGACCTGTAAGACTGGCTTTAGTCCTAGCATTCTTATTTACTGTGTTAAAGACAAACTCAACACCCAAGTGCCTCTCACCGCTGCCTTGAGCTGGTATGTCAAAGGATATAGGAGGTTTTAAGCAAATGATCACAGACTTATATCCTTAATTAGTCAAAAACTGCCACACTGTAGCATTTTAATCCAATGAAAGACGAGATATAAATTCCATCAAAGTTGTACAAAGTAAACATAAATAAAAATGAAGGACCTTTTTTTTTTTAAACTGGAGACATGAAGCCGGCTTCACATTTTTACTGACTTGCACTCAATGAGTTATGGGATTAATATTACACCTCTGCCTTTACTTCTAAAGAAATTTCCTGCTGCTCATTTTAGGCTGTGTTAATCTAGAAGTCCAAGTCATTGGTTAAAAACTCCTTACCGAGAGGGGGAAATCTAACCCACGATCACCAGGTAAGCACATTAGTGCCTGCACCAACTGCTATTACTGCCTGTATACCACTTCTGCAGTGAAAGGGGGTCTTTGGGCCTGAGGATTTAGGGCCATATGGCTATTGCTGTCTCCGTTGCTGTCTTACAGGTTAGGATTTTATTTTTGCCTGACAAAAAAAAATTCCCAACCTTATCGAGGATCGAACTCATGTCTCCTGTGTAAAAGCCCAACATTCTTATCTATTTAGCCAGACGCTGCACTAACAGTTATTAAAGTACTACAAAGGTGGCAACAAACAGATTGCAAACACACACCCACTAAGACAAACATTATGTGTATAAATATACAAACCTTAGCTTTGCTTTGGTATTCTTCATAACTGTAAGGCCCACCTATTCCAAAAACATCCTCTGCGCTGTACCAGAATTCAGAGAAACCATAGAACTCAGAAGACAGATCAATGTGAGGTTGGTAAACACCATTCAAAGAGCATGGTTTCTTACTACAAGGCACGGTCAAGTTCATCAATGGTTCCACTGCTCTTTTGCAAGCTTCATAATCTCCTAATCCAACAAAGTCGTGAGTTTCTCCATTATCATTTTTTGAACTCTGCTTCATTCCAGCTGGCAGGCATACATCCCTCAAAGGAAACACTCCCCTAATGAACAGATAAAACATTGTGGAGTTAAACAGTTAAATTATTTAATCAACATTTGCTATGCCTCTATTCCAATATAGGTTACAAATAGGATGGTGCACTTGAAGTCTTTATAAGTCCCCTATTAGTGTTTTCTAGCTTGCATGGTCACTACCGTTGGATAGATTTCTTCTCTCCGAGTGGTAAAATTTGTAAGACATGCTCTATAGTTTATTTTAGTGCACTACTAACCTATGTGGCAGAGCCCTACACTACAGGTATGCTCTAACTTTATAGATGCCCCATTATGTTGTAAAATTCTGGTCTGTACCATTCTGGCAAGCAAATTAATCCCCTGGGGGGTCACTAATTCGTGTTGTCTTATCTCCAGTTCAATTCACAGATTAAATAAAATGTTATAGAATCTGAGTGATACAATGTAAGATCTAACAGCTAGATTTAAAAAATGTGAAAATGGTTCATTACAGGAGCTTATGTTAAAAAAAAAAAAAACTTTCATTCCCAAACATCTTTTTTTTACAGCAAAAGCAAAATAAAGCTCCCTTTTTTTTTCTATAACTATCTTGTGCTATTCCATTTTAAAATGACTTTTTTTTTAAAGAATATAAATATATGTCCTATTAAAGTAGGAAAAAAAAAAGTAATGTAAAGGACAACTTTTTATACCATAAGGTGTACTGGGTATGTGGTTCAAGTTCAAAATGTCCATCTTCAATTGTTTTTTTTTCTCTTAAATTTGTTCCTGGTGCTGTTCACGTTTCCAGGCCCAGGTTCAGACTTTAACTTCCCTTGTCATTCATGCCACCTAAGGTTGCTGGATCTCTCCTATGTTGCCAGGGAAAGTTGTGTTTATCTTATTGTGAATGGTTTAACCATTGCCTTTTTTCCTTATCTTCTCACTGCTCACCTGCATGATTATTTTCACATTTCGCTACCTGCACCATGGTTCAGGAGTATGGAAACAGTGATATTTTTCTATTTCTACACTTCTTGTAACTGCTTTCTTTCCGGGGGTGGGGGGCATTGCAAACGAACGTAGAAATGCAGAAACATCCTAGTTTTGACAGCCACGAATCATCGCGACTGTGCTTTTTCTTGCAGTACTTCTTACTTGTACACAGGTGCCTGCGACATCTGAAATAGACTCACAACAACACAACCTCCCACAGACATTACATACGCTGAGCGAACACCAAACCAAGCCATACCATAACACCCTTTCAACATAAGCGACCTCAGGAGGCATGAATGGCAAGGGAAGTTACTCTAATCCTGGGCCTGGAAACTTAAACAGGATCTTTTTGTTTGCTGATGGAGAGGTGTTTCAACATCTATAATTTTTTTCTTGTAGGCTTACACTTTGTCTTTTCTATGACATTTGCTATTTGTGTTTGTAACAATATGAAGCTGGCTAGTTCTACTTTTTATTTGGTTTGATAACTTTTTAGGATATTTTCTATAATATGTTCCTCTTATTATCAGGTCAAGAAAAGACAACTAATGTGAGATGTGACTTTTGTTTTGCACACACACATTCTGATAATTATCAGATTATAATCCATAGTCCCAGATTTTTACCACCTGTAATGCATTAACACTGCTCAAAACCATAAGAATCTGCAACACAAAATAACTAGATTCATGAATATCATGTCAACAAAAAAAGTATAAAGTTAGGCAAGAAGATTAGGCAGGGGGCCAAAGAAGTGTAGTAAAAGAGCCTGATGCTGTTAGCCAAGGATACACTGAAGGAATCCAAGTGCTTGTAAATTGAATGGTATGTTACAGTGAGGATAATCTGCTGGCTTATTAACTATGCTTTACTTTGCCAACTCTAATGGTTTAGTGCTACTGCCTGATGACTCAGCAAAGACTGGTCTGACTGAGTCATTTATTGTGACTCCTGATTTATATCAAGTACTTGCCATGGTGGACCACTTACCTTGTCTGACTCTCTGACTGCTGAATCAGCATATCTTCATATCTCTCACGCGCAGAATTGGCCCCATAGCCAAGAAATGTGGTGACATAAACTTGATAAGTATGTTCTATATCACTCTCCTGACAGCCAAGATTAAATTCTGACAGCAGAGACCTTGGAATGTCCTTGCTATGCCTCTGTAACCAAAAGACAAAAAAAAAGCAAATATTGAAATGGCTAACTAATGACCACAACAACAAAAAAGTGCTTTAATGGAGCAATTTCATCTCATCTCTTCTATGGGTTCTTATATTTCTTTTAGAGTAGACTATTACACTGTGGCATGTGATATAATTAACATTTAATTAAACAACAAAATTAAGGTGAACATACAAAATCCTCAGTTGAAGATTTGATTCAGTTAAATTAGAAACCACTATTAAAAATAAAATCTTCTTTTCTCTACTCCTGGAATGCCTCATGGCGTCAGGGTAGGAAGAGATTTCTGGAATGGGCCCTTCTGTTTGCTCTGTGTAAAGTACTTTTCCGTGCCTCTGATATTTCTGTGGTCCATTAGAATAGTTACCCTCTGGCGCTGTTACCACTGTATCTGTATAACACGTCTCTCTGTGGTGCGGTGTCTGATGCCAATTTTGTTACATGGCTGAACCATTTGATTTGTTGTCGACCTATGAAGTTTAGTATTGGCTCTGTGCCAACTCTCCTCCTTACATCATCGTTCGCAAGCCGATCTTTCCTCATTACACCTAGCATATTACGCAAACATTTCATTTTTGTCGAAAATATTTTCCTTCTGTAGTCTGAAGACAGTGTCCATGTTTGACACTGATAGCACAGGATCCAGAAAAATAAGGAGTTGAAAAGTGTCCTTTTAGTGTTCATACTCACATGCTTGCATTTCAAAATTGGTGCCATTTGGCTTAAAATGTGATTGGTTATATTGCATCCTTTTTGGATTTCTTTATTAACTCTTCAATTTTCAGGGGGGGGGGGGGGTGCCCCCCCCCCCCCCCCCAAACATGTAAAATCCTGCATCTGCTTTAACTGGTGTTCATCAATTTTTATAATGGTGGATCTTCCTTTTCTGGAGAATATCATCACTTCTGTTTTGTCTATGTTGATCTTCATATCATAGTTCTCGCACTCTGAGTGGAGTCTATTAATATGTTCTTGTAGCTGTACTGCTGTTGGTGCGATGACTGCCTGGTCACCAGCAAAAACCAGTTCCTTTATTAATTCTCTGATGTACCCTTCGCTGGTGTTAGCTGATTTGCAAATTTGGTGAAGTATACGATAAACAGTAGTGGTGACAGAACGTACCATTATCTCACCCTAGATTCAATTTAAAGCTTCTTTGACATTCCTATGTTTGTTCTAACTGTACATTCACTATTCATGTATAAGCTCTTGTACAATTAATAAGGTGTTCGTTTACTCAGTAATCCTGTGGTACCTTTCAGTTTATTCCTATTTCTATGGAAAGCTTTCTCTTGGTCTACGAATGTAACATGTAATTCTTTATCAGATTTTACAACACTTTCCGGTAATTGCCTAAGTGTGAACACTGCATTAGTACAACTTCTGTTCTTCAGAAATCTTATTTTCCCTTCACTAAGTTGTGGTTCGATGGTATGGCGTACTTTTTTTCCAAGGATCTTACAACTAATTTAAATTACTCTGTCAAATGACACAAAAACATAATATTAAACAAAATGGGAGAGTATCAAATAAACAAAAAAACACAGAAAATAAGCTCGCGAATAATTAACCACTTGCATATACTGTCCCAGTAGCATGGACTAATGCTGCACAACTGATAGCTGTATCCATTTTTTACACAATTTATAAACCAGATAGACAATTTTCCTGAAGTTTTAACTGCAGTAAATTGCTAACCTCACTTCCAAAGTATTCAAGAACAAAATATTGTGCGACGTGGCTAGTTTCTAAATAGTAGTAACTCTTATTCAATATTTCACAAGTATTTGAAACAGTTTCAGCTTTTCAACTATTTTGCCTGCATTATATCCATGATATCCCTTGTATTTTTTTTTCGTACCATCTCCACACCTCAGGTTAGCTGTAGTAGATAAATACACCCACTGCTGTATTTGGAATATTATGTATTATCATGTGAGGCCCCTATTTCTTTCCCAATGTGATTTTAGTACTACAGTATAAAAGCCCCAAAAACCTGTTTTGATTTCGTTTAAACCTCCTGTCAGCAGACCCTAGTATTTTGAGTAGAGTAACTTCTTAGACACAGAACTGCTCATCATTTTACAAACTAGGTAAAAATCTTAAAAAATATAACAGTGTATGGCGATCAGCTATTCTTTATAACAATTTTTTTTTTACTAAAATCATTGATTCCACTTAATGCCAACAGGGATGAGGATGAATTCAGCACTAGAGTTCTCCCAGGTATATCTGCCCATTAAAACAGTTAAAGAATAATCTTTCAAAGCTGACACAGATCCTCATGTGTGCTGTCTCTTGATGCACAGACTGGATTTGAATAATTTCTAGCCCTTGGATACCAAAACAGTTTGACCATGTTCTACAAAACCGAGTAAAATCTCTTTGGGACAAGATAATAAAGGAGATATAAAGTGCTATAATCTACAGTTAATTGTTATTTTAAGATGAAATGTGTTCCCGTATGTCAACATATTCTTTTTCTGTTATTTTATCATAGGCTTGATGTAAATGATCAGTGCTCAAAGACTTCTGTAAAAAAAAAAAAAAAAACATTGACAGCTCAAGATTTACATAAACTGAATGCAACAGATTTAATAGTAAGTCCAATATCTTCAGTAATTCTACTCACAAGATCTGTTACTTCAAAAGCTATCTGTACAGAGCCACCTCCCATGTCTATTATACCAACGGTCCTTTTACGAGTGTGTGTGACAGCAGTCTCCCCCTCCACCGAGTGAACAAGCTCCACAGGGGCTGCACTACTGTCTGAAAATGAAAATATAAAAAACAATATCAGTGCATTCATGGTGACATAGTGATTATTGAACTCAACTACTCTTTTTCTTTGTGTTTAACAAATGTAAACTCTGGTGGAAAGTTCTGGTCATTCATCCACTTCTGGACTTCCTGTTTCAGAATTTGAGTTTTGTCTCCACATCCATTTGTACAGATCTGAAGATATTTGGTTAATTTAAGGTTGATGCCATCACCATGAAGTTCCCCCTCAAGTGGAAATGACACAGACCCAAAAAAAAGTTCTGTGTGCGTATATACATATATACTGGACACTTAAAGATGTCCTGTTATCATTGTAATAAGTCTACAACCACATCATCAGTCCCTGCAATTCTTTGCTCCCTAAACAGGCAGTATCTCAGTAATCTATGTCCTGACAGACTGCTACGTTTTAACTCCCAGAATTCTGGGACGTTCTGGAAACCATGGGCCTAACAACATATTTCCAATATGTGCAATGACAGGTAAATGGGTTTTGTTTGGATCTTTCTGTCAGAGTTCCTAATTAAGTGGTAGCCAGTGCTGTGCCTCCAATTTTTTTACATATATAATATATGACTATATAAAAAATAAACACTATTATAATATCTGTGGCTCCCAGGTCGAGGCAGCCTTAAATGGGTACCAGGTAAAGTCCTGGGCAGTAAAGGCAGCCGGCATGACACTGATGAAATCACTCACCGAGTGCTGATTGGTTTATAAAATATATATGTGTCCAAAATGCCTGAAGGCGTGGAGAAGGATCTTTTAGCATTACTTATAATAATAAGAAGAAAAAAGTAAAATAACTGACCCTTTTCACATATGTGATGAATATGGCATATGGTACTAGATCCTTATTTTATAGACACAGTAGCATCATGCCGTCCACTTTTACTTCCCAGTTGGTGGATCTGGAAGCCACTCCACTTAAATTTGGACCAAAGCTTATGACTGTGAGGCTGGCAGGCACCTAGCCACCGCACCTCCCCAATTTTACATTAATTCAGGCTAAATCTTTCCACTGCTGACCTAAAATCATCCCCCCCCCCCCCCACTGAACTTGCACCATTCTCCCCACACTGGCAAAACAACGAATAGAATTAACAAATAGGTGAAGTAAAGGACCATTTCCCATGCCTTCAGGCTTACTGTGCTAGAACTATATTTTACAGACCATTCGGCACTGCCAGAACTCGAAAACATGACCTTCCAATCCATGGGTGAGCGTCTAGCCACTACACCATGGTGACTCCAAAAATTAACAAATATAAGAGTAACATAAATACAAGAATAATCTTCATGCAGTTAAGTGCTGAGCTAAGAACCGACATCACAGCATTCAGAACATTCCCATAGGCACCCGTACTCATCTTCAGCAACCAGCAAAGAGTTCTAATTCTGATGGTGCCAGTAGCACTTTGATCATAGGTCCACCATACCTTTCCTATGACTGTAGATAAAACGTTCTGTTACAAACCTAATCTTCACACAAAAATTAGTCAATGCAATTCTCTTAATAACTACTTTAAGCTGGAAGTGGAAATCAATATTTAAGAAGAAATATTTGCCCAACCTGAACCAGCTGACGAGTGGGAGAATCTTCCAAGTACATAGTTGATAGCAATCCATGCGTACACTCCTTCTTGCTTCCCACTGATTACCTCAAAATGATTCTCTGGTGCGATGAAGCTAAAATCTTTCTTTATGTCATTTCTTAAGTCAAGAAGAATAGCTCTCTGTGCGCTGAAAAACAATTGCAAAAAAACCACAGATGAGATTATTATGGATAGGAGTATATAAATAAATAAATATATATATATATATATATATATATATATATATATATATATATATATATATATATATAATATATATATATATATATATATATATATATATATATATATATATATATAATATATATACTGTGCAGTCGGAAGAGGAAAATATGCACATAAAAGTCAAAAGGACCCTTTTACATGGCTTTGGGCATATATAGACCACTTGGCACTTGGTGTGTGATGTGGTCAACATCACGCCAGCTGTCTTTACTTCCAAGGACTTCACCTGGTACTCACCTAAAGCTGGGTCAACCTGGGAGCCATGGTCATTTCTGTAGAAAGCCCCGTTCTATCAGGAGAAATATGCATATTTTGTCAGGAGAAATATGTATATTTTGTCAGGAGAAATATGCATATTCCATCAGAAGAAACATGCATATACAGAACTAATATTATAAAAGTGATAAAGAGCCTAATGAGCCGCTAAGCAGACTATATATGAAAACATAAAATACATGCTAGACAGAACTGTGAAATGCAAGTATGAAGAATATGGATAACAGTTTCAATGTGACTGTATCAAATGACTGGATGATTTCTTGTACTTGCATGGTAGGAAACTATAGGACTGATGTGAGTGTGCGCAAGAGGGATGATAACTTGAAGAACAAAATACTAAAGAAATCACATAGCAAGGATATAGTTTATAGACACTATGTTTGATAAGAAAGAAAGCTGTGGCAACAAGAGAAAAGGGAAACTTTTTTCGAGATCAAATACAAAATATCAGTTAAATATAGAATTTCAAGTAAAGAAGATTCTACCTTTCAGGTAACATTCTCATTCCAGCAGTTGCTAAAACATATAAAACTGTTTCTGGATATTTGTTGGCAGGAATGTATTTCTGTGCATACAAAAGTAGCTCCTTAATGTGGTCACTGGCAGCACCTGGGTTATCTTCAAAGGATGAAAGACCTGAAAACAGAAATATAATTTTATTCAGGTTGGTGTTACAGCTAAATTATTTAAAATTTAGCAAAATAAAATGCTAACTCTTTTTCTTCAGCCATTTCTGGTCATGCCCTTGATCCACTACAGGCCATAAAGTGGATCTCAGCTACAGTCTCTTAGGTTTCCCCAAAATTTAGTTGTCAGGTCTACTGGCTGTAGCCATATGCTGTTAGTTGTCAGGTCTACTGGCTGTAGCCATTTGCTGTTAGTTGTCAGGTCTATTGGCTGTAGCCATATGCTGTTAGTTGTCAGGTCTACTGGCTGTAGCCATTTGCTGTTAGTTGTCAGGTCTACTGGCTGTAGCCATATGCTGTTAGTTGTCAGGTCTACTGGCTGTAGCCATATGCTGTTAGCTGTCAGGTCCACTAGCTGTAGCCATATGCTGTTAGCTGTCAGGCCTACTGGCTGTAGCCATATGCTGTTAGCTGTCAGGTCTACTAGCTGTAGCCATATGCTGTTAGCTGTCAGGTCTACTGGCTGTAGCCATGTGCTGTAAGGTCTACTGGCTGTAGCCATATGCTGTTAGCTGTCAAGTCTACTGGCTGTAGTGATATGCTGTTTGTTGTCAGGTCTACTGGCTGTAGCCATATGCTGTTAGTTGTCAAGTCACTGCCTGTAGCCATATGCTGTCAGCTGTCAGGTCTACTGGCTGTAGTCATATGCTGTTAGCTGTCAGGTCTATTGGCTGTAGCCATTAGCTGTTTTACAGCTGCTTCAGAAGAGGACAGTTTTGCTAACCATGTTCTGGGATTTGTTCAGCATGAAGAGACTGGTAGAGAGCTGATTACAAGAACAGTAACATTGTATTCTGCCAAACATGTCACAAGATACAAAATAGGAAGTGTTGGTTCTGAGGTTGGTAAATGCCATCCTGTAGAAAGATATTCAGCCACAAAAACCAACATCTATGAAAATATCTGATAAGGAAACAAGAATTCAACTCCAAACAAGATGAGGGGAGTCTGTTCTCCCTGAGAAAATCTGAAGAAAATAGGAGAAGGTCAAAATGAGCGTATCGTTAACCTTTCTCTTTTCACCTATGAAAATCGGAATGTTAAAACTATATGAGTTCCTGCCCAATATGAAAGACAAGGCATGGCAAAATATTTAGCCTGGAAGTTATTTTTGCTTCCAACAGCATTTTGGTAATGCAGTTTCCACATATGGATGGAAGCGTATGCTCTTCTGTGATCAATGTTTGCTAGAATCTATTCAAACATGGGTCATAAATAGGATGGTGTGCTAGAGGTCTTAACAGCTGCATCACAGTTTGCCTTGCAAGGTCGCTCCTGGAGCCAGATTTCTTCTCTCTGACAGTCTGGGTTATCCAGAAAGATGTACTCTGGATTATTCAGAAAGATGTACTCTGGAATTTGCTTTGGTGCACCATAACCACATGAAGCAGAGTCAGAAAGACCCATCTGATGTGAATGGGGGACAAAAGGACAAAATACGACAAAGAAAATTAAAATCGATGTACAGCTAATTTAATAAAAGTATAAACAAAAATAACCTGGTGAAACTTTTTTCACAACAGCCTTCCCAGAATCATCTAGAAGCTGCTGAATGTCGAGAAGGTCTCTTGGGTTTCCAGAATGTGTTGGCCAGAAATATACAAACACCCGGCTTCCGCTGCTTCCGCAGTCTATTACGATTCCATAATGAAGTTCCTGTAAATGTTCTGCTGCATGTGATTTATGAAAACTGAAGATATGCGGTAGTGGAAGGAAAATAGATAAGGCTACTATAATAATCACAGCTAATAGTATCCACCGCCATACAGGAGGCATTTTGTTTCCATTTGAATTTGAGCAAGGGCTGTTGAAGTAAATTCTGCAAAAAAAAGCAAAACAGTTAAAATCAACAAAATGAACACTTCAGAACTTGCTGTTATAAAAATAGTTAATTGTGCTTACTAGCTTACATAATATGATTTTTCGGTAAATTTTACACTGGTCTCCCAATCTGCACACTGCTACACACTAGCTCACTTCTGATCGGATGACCTACTGACCACCTCACTTCTGATAGGTCAGCCTCGAGCGATCCGACTTTCACAAAAGGTCACGGGGATATTCAGCACTTGCGCTCATACCGCGTGTTATATATTTCATCATGCCAAAGCTTTTAACACTTCTAAAACATTTAGATACTGGGTCTAACACACAATTCCTCTAGAGAGTGACAAAACCTATGTCACAGGTCATCTCATTCTCGGAAATAAAAATGTAAATACCAGACAACAGACTGCGATATCCATAACCTTGACCATGGTATACTAGTCTAACCAACTTATCAATGGAGTTTACCTACAACCGGTGGTGTGCAAATCTGGTAATCCTAGTTTCAGCTTCATAGCAAACGGGTCACCCCACATATGCTCCGCTCCTGTGCCAACGAAAAACAAACGCAGCTCACAGTGTCACGCCATGCACTCAACTCAGAAGCTGGGCGACGAAACTACATCCTTCCAGTCTACAAATGGAGCAAAAATGCAACGGCCACCGTCTGGCCAAAAAAAAAAAAAAATATTTGCCACGGCTTTAAAAAAAAAAAAAGGTGGCCGTACCTAGCGTCCATTTTGACCGGAAGAATTATATGAGGGTTAATAAACGATCACCCCAGCAGTACCCTCACTATTAGCTGGGGAAGGGACTTAGGACATTACATCCACCAGCAGGCGTCCCCCCTACAACGACCTGCCTGCCTTCGTTAACGACTGTTCACCCAACAGCCATGCAGTTCTTTGGCACGAAGGAGACACCTTGAACTTGCGTTTCGGACTGCCGACTCCCTACAAGATGTTATTTTATGTTTTGTTATCACACTTGATGTCACTGCACATTGGGCATACCCATGCGTGATCAGTTCTCCGAAGCAGCAGGGACTCCAAAGTACTTCTACTAATTGTCCCCATGAGAAGCTGGTTATATCGTCTCCTTTCTCGGCCCCGAAGACGGCAAAGACATGCATCACCATGCCTAACTCCCATGTCACGCAATCGTGTTAGTGTCAGGGATTCCTCATTCTCCCCTAGCCCAGTTCGTACAGCGTTGACGATATTTGCTCTGTCCATGCTATTCCCCGCAATCATTGGTGCAGTGCTTGCCAGTTGGTCCGCTCGCTCATTTCCCTTTATGCCCGCATGACCCAGTGTGTAGATCCAGGTTACGGAGGTTAAGTGCGATTTTCGAATGCTTTCTATCCATTCAGAGCGCATACTGCCTGTTGCTATCTTCTGAAGCATATTCTTTGAGTCTGAGACAATTACTGCCTGTGTGGCAGTTTGCTCGGATACCCACGCTAAAGCTCTAGAAGCAGCGGCTATTTCCATTGTCATGCTTGACGTGGTTGTCTGGTAAGCGCTGTGTCCTCATGTATTGTTTTCCCCATTCTTTGCGCTGTGTATGCCCATGCTGACCTTGATCCGCGCTTCACGGATCCATCTGTGTAGATGATGATATCTTCTGGGTCTGAATGCTGATCTATCAGTTCCCTTACTTCTGAGTCTACGGCCGCAGGAATTTGATCCCTGCAGTACCTTCCGAGTTTGATGACAACCTTAGAGATGCCATGCCTGTCTACTGGTGTATTCGTCCATTCTTTACCGTGACTGATCACGTCTAGGTCACATACCTGCTGGATTAAATCCTCAGCCTTTGCCATCCAAGAGCAGCCTCTTTTGAGACGCGTTCCTTTTGTGTCGTGTATAGCTTTGGGCAATGGGTGGTTAACGTTTGCCGATACCCTTATGTAAGCCTTGACCTGTGCCACTTTGTATCTGCTAGTCATCGTCGGCAAACCCAGGACATAACCCATGGCGTTGCAGGAGGTGTCTTTTGTGCGGCCGAGTATGAGTCTCACAAATATTCACATGAGCTCTCCAACAGGTAATTGAAAAACTTGGATGCTGTCTATAATAAGCAAAGGAAAATGCTGTGATTCTCTAGTAATCTTAAAGAGTAAATGAATAAATAAAGAAATCAATTCTGCAGTTAGGACATTCCATCATCTGCTCCACAGTAGCTACAAAAGAGTTCCCATACTAATGACTCTCGTCTTTATCTCTTTGAAGTGTGGACAGTTTAAACCCTCAGAGCATTTTTCAATGTAAAGAGCACTGCCAGTGGTGATTCTCCCTTCATTAGTTAGAATAGTTTCTACTCAGACAGGATGATCCACAACGGTAGAATGAATGAGAACCTGATCAGTATGAACTCTGAGAACCTGATCAGTATGAACTCTGAGAACCTGATCAGTATGAACTCTGAGAACCTGATCAGTATGAACTCTGAGAACCTGATCAGTATGAACTCTGAGAACCTGATCAGTATGAACTCTGAGAACCTGATCAGTATGAACTCTGAGAACCTGTTCAGTATGAGCTCTGAGAACCTGTTCAGTATGAAGTATGAACTCTGAGAACCTGATCAGTATGAACTCTGAGAACCTAATCAGTATGAACTCTGAGAACCTAATCAGTATGAACTCTGAGAACCTCATCACTAACTTCTAACTCTGAAGTATCAGTACTTCTGTATTTACAGGATGTTCCAGCAATACTTGTCTAAGGATCTTTTTCCATACGAAGAAGAAGCATGTCATATTGGGGCCCGTGCTAACCCATATTTAGCAGATGAACCTATGTATGATTATATGATATGACTGATGATTCGGTTAAATTATAACAATAGTATTGACTGCCCAGCCTTTGAAATTATGATTTACTAATTTACTTACTTACCTCGCCATGTTATTCATTTGAGCTTTTAATTAAACTTAACTACTAATCTAACTTAATTTTTTTCTTTCTAAGGTTTTAATGCTGACGTTGATACTATTTAGTGAAGGAGAGAACAGTGGTCATAATTAAGACAACAGCGCCCTTGCTCAAGACAGTCTACGTCCTAAATGAGACACAAGCCAGCCATGTTGCCAACTTGTGGCAGTCCGTGTCATTCCATGTTACCAGCCAGCATATTACGACATTTTTTTTTTTTTTTTACGTTTGAAATCAAATGTATCTATTAAAATAAAAAAATATTGTAATCAATAGCTGTAGGGGTATGTTGTTAAATGTTATAATAAAACATGTATTTGTTGACTTGGGATTACATAATGTTATTTTTTAACTGGAAAATGCGACAGCCATAAGTACGTTACGTATAAACAAACATGGCCGACGATATACACGTCAGGTTGTGTTTGCAAGATATCGTCAAGCTTGATTTGGAAGCCAAAGCGATCATCCAGGTTAATTACAATTACAGTGTACATGTGGCAAAAATAGTTAAGGCGACATATTTAGGAATGTAATAAATAATATAATTTGGCTATCCTCCGAACTACGGGCACAAAAGATGGCGGCCGAAAAATATCTTTTCGAACCTCAGTCACGTGTCAATTGCGCACTTCCAGCTACTTAATTTGCGGTTTTCCGGCGACTACCGCCACTGCATCGAGTCTCTCACGCGTGGATTGGGGCTACACTGGATGGCTAGGACTCACAAGCAAAGCTGCAGGAGATGCGGAAGCTGCTGCTCGTGGGTCCTAGCCATCTAGTTTAGCCCCAATCCTCACGGCGTTGGGGACTCATTGTGGTGGCGGTAGTCACTGGAATACCGCAAATTAAGTTGCCGGAAGTGCGCAATTGACACGTGACTGAGGCTCTAAAGGATATTTTGCCCCCGCCATTTTTTGTACCTGTAGTTCAGTATATAGCCCATAATTTTGTTCGAACTATTTCTTGTAATTTTAAACTCTGTATATTGTATTGATTATTGATTTTCGTTTGTTTTAAAATTTAACAAATATTTAAAAGTGGCTCTCCTCCGAACTTCTAGCCCGGCGAAACACATGCCCTAACAGGGCCTCAGCCCTATGAAAAATTTGTGACTTCCTGCGATGAACAAATCGCGGCAAAACTAGGATTACCTGTCAATTTCAAGAAACGCAACACTGCAGACGATAATCGCGACTGTTGACAATTTTGAGACACGCAACATTACAGACGATTAAAGCAACATGACAGGGATACGACGCCCTCTGATGCAGATCAGCGATACTGTTCTTCCGATTGAGGATTTAGCAGCGCTAGATGTGAGTCCTGTCAATTTGCATTGAGTAATGACCAATAAACTGGCCTGGTTGCAATTGCCAATACGCAACACGCAGGTATGTTTGTCCTGCTGTGGCACAGTCGTGCCTATACATCCCCCAAGAAATAGATGTGCCTAAGTCGGCCAAGTGGAATAAATATGGTTCGTATCTCTCTTCAATCGTACTCAAGAACAAGGCCAGTGATGTAATCAATTACATAAGAGCTGGTTTATTCATAATATTCTCGTCACACACATTTCATAAATTCAATAAGCAATAGTATATGAACACTCCTTATTACTGGCTATTCGTATGCCTCTACGAGTTCCTTAACCACTGTTCTGGCTAAACTCCAAGTTTAACATATACCTTCTAAACGAAGTAAAGCACTAGTTTTCTCCTAACCGGTTTCTCTAGCGGTCTAGCCCTAACTGTCTTCTCATGGCGGTTCCGGGGCTAACTCACTGTTCTAGCTAAACTCCAAGTTTAACATATATCTTCTAACGAAGTACAGCACTAGTTTTCTCCTAACCGGTTTCTTTAGCTGTCTAGCCCTAACTGTCTTCTCATGGCGGTTCCGGGGCTAACCCACTTCTCAAGCCCCTGGCTCTGACTTTATTCCACCCTGGCTCTGCTTTTCCGCTCCTCCTGGCGTACCATCTTAATCACTCCCCTGTCACCTGTCCTTGGTGGTCACGTTTGGATGAACGTATCTCGTCAGCTGGTCACAGCTCACGGGTACTCGTCGAATGTTTCATCCCTCACTGTCAGATGTCATGGCGGTGTGTTCTGCATAGCTGGCTAGGCCATGGCTTTCTAATCACCCATTCTGTCATTTCACACAGTGATGGATTAGTACGCCGTGTGGTGGTCTGAAATGTATGCTTGTTCATTTAACCCCTTTCTGCCTATATTTCATTACATTCGCCCTACACACTTTTTAACAAAATTGTTTCCTATCTTCAATTTTATGAAAACTACTCTAATTATACCCGCTACCTAACTAAACCTTATGTGAACATCTAGCCACGTAATGAAAGCATACAACATAACATGTAACATCATAAAATTCATGCAGTATAATGAAAACGTGACATGCATACAATAACTAATAGTCAATAATTCTAAAGACATAAAAAAAAACGATGCAACTCCCTCGTTGTATTAGCATAACAACCTATTATTCACTGGTATCCCTAATGAATGTGCGGAGTTGTCTGAAGTATAAAGGAATAGTATCTGTATTCCCACTTTATAAACTCAAACCTGAAAACTTTGTAGACAAGAAATAACATGCCATGTATCCCCAGTTATCAATAAAGTAAAACTCGAAAATGTCATCTCCCTAAGAAATGAAGAAAGTCAACATAGACTGAATAATAAGGTGTAACCTTTACAGAGTATAAATAATTCTTATACCGTTAGGTATATTAATTGGAGAGAAATTTCTCGGAAACAATAGTAGCATTTCCTCAAGTCGAATGTACAGTGCCACCACCTGTATTTACAGGCATTTATCTACTGTGATAGTCCACAGCGTTTATTGTTGCTTCCCTAAGAGGTTGCTTCCTCTGTTTAATGCATATCGCATCTTCTGTAAAGAAATAGCCGGCCTATATTCAGTTACCAATCATGTCATGCTTTGGACTGGCTTATCGCCAAGTACGTTTCTAACTGTGTACCTCAGTAAAGTCTGGTTAAACTCAAATCAGTCGTCATTCTGACAGAATGTATAAGAGAGGTTTTGTGGCCAGTAACTCTCTTAGCGAACATAAAACATGTAGGTATTGTAATCTTCACCCACAACCGAACGTGTGGATTTTCACTTGTCCGGGAGAGTACCACCCAAAAAAAAAAAACGTTCATAGTGCACAACCGCATGTAAATATTAAATGGTAGGGACAAAACAACAGGTATATATTTAAAATTGTCGGACAAATGACATGTAGACACAACAACAGAATATGTGTAGCGAGCGCGGTACCTCTGTACACAGCAATATAGCGTACGTAAATTGTAATTAATAAAACTAATTACTTGTTATACACCCTACAATCCCACATTTATTGAACCATTTTACGAACGATCCCATTTCAGTCAGTCATGGGGGAAGAAAGGGTGGGGGGGGGGAGGAGCTGTAATTGATGTATGATTTACTCAGGGTATAAATTCAGTCTACCCCCTGATGATTCTGGCCTACTAACTGTAGTGGATGCTAATTGTTCTAGTTCTATTTCTTCTTCTGTCTCATTAGTGATCTGTGTTTTTTCTTTTATTAAATGATTAGTTACTTTTGTACATTTAAAGCCTTTCCGTCGCAAATAAAGAAAAATTATAAGTCCCAGCAATATGCGTAATCCAGATATCAGTATGATCCTGTTTCTGTGTGTATTTAAAGTATTTTCTTGTAAAGTGTCAAGTTATACATCGTAAATATGTGTTCGCCTTAATTATAATAAAAGGTGTCGTGTGTGCCATTTATTAGACGCTCCAGAGCTCTGAAATAAAGTGGAACAACTTATTAATTTTGCTATATTCGGTAGACGCCACTTCATTACGACACTTCTGGCTACTTTTATTTCCGTGTAAATTTCTATCTAATACATTTGATTTTCTCGCATCTTTATTTTCCTGTAAAACATGCCGCTCGTTTAAATAGGTATGCGAATTTTTAATGCCCGACATTCTTGTCTCCTGTTTTGCTCTTTTGTTAGGCGAAGTTTCTACTGTTTCTTCTTCTTCTCTTCTACTATTACATGTACCTTTAACTGGTACTTCTGGCGGTTTTAATTCTTTCACACTAGACGGAGTATTAGTCCTGGTTCTAACCGCGACTAAAATTCTACGACCCGTTTTGTTTGTGATCCCAATTTCACTATCTGCGTCGTAGTTTTCTGAGAATAGATCTACCTTTATGTTACTGACTACAAACGGTAATGTATTTATTCCTTCACCTTCTTCTTCTGTAGGCATCACCTGTGCATAAGACAAATCCTGCTGATTTCTTTCTTTAATTGTCCCTACCCTCTCTACTTTCCTATGTCTGCTATTGCTATCTAGCCTTTTTACTTCTACCGCGTTTACTTCCCATAACCATTCCATTGCTAAACAACCCTCTTCATCTTCTTCTTGTTCCGACTTAACTTTAGTCGGTGTTAACTCTTTATGTTTCTCTAAGTTCCCTTCTTCTTTAAAGTATTGACCGCGTGTCCCGTTTACAGTTACCGCATTTACTTCGTTAATGTAGCTTTTATTAAACCGTTTCATGAGATTCCTCTCTTTTAACCCTCTTACTTCTAATCTGTTTGTCTTATCATCAGCAGCGCACGTGCTTTTATTACCTGTCTGCCATAATCCGTTATAGTTACTGACCTCGCGATTATTTCCTAAGTTTTGCAATCTTATATTCTTATTATAGCCTAATTTTCTTAACCTGTCTCTTTTGAATTTGTTGGCTTGATTATGGGTCGTACCGTGGGCCCTGTAATCTTGATTAGTGCTCATCGTGCTAAATCTGGAATCTGGATTACATGACCTAACTCGACTTCGGTTATCATCATGGATATTTCCTACTCTATTTATGTTCTGATATCTGTTACTATTATTATGCCACTGTTCCTGTGCTCTTATATGTCTATTATTTTCTAATTTTCTCAACCTGTCTGCTCTATGGAAATTTTTAAAATGCCCTCGTTCATTTTGTACACATGACCTCAGTTGACCCTGATTTTTCTCGTACGCTTTTGTGTTGTCTGGTCTGCGGTACTGATTGTCTCTAGGGTATTGCAATCTCTCGTTAGCATAATTTCGCCTGTCTGGGAAACCGGACAGTCGATTAGCAGCGACGTTACTTCTAGTGACTGATGCTATGTTATAATTTCTTTCTCTCTGTCTTTTCTACGACTATCTACAGTCGACCAATGCTGGGCAGTTTTTTTGTTCTATAAAAAATGGAATACGGAGTTTTCTACCTAACTGTGCTACTTCATTAAAAACTCTGCTAAACTGTGCTCTCACTGTTCCTTGATATGCCATTATTAAAACCTGGAAAATTAACTAATAATGTAAACTAAAATAGAATTTAAAACAGAAAATGTCGTATTACCTTGTTAAGTGCGGTCTGAAAAAAAAATTCTCATTTCACAACACACTGT